ACCCTGAGGGGATGGACATGCCGCAATCCTTTTTCCTCCATTGTCTTCTTTGGATTTTGAGCTCACGTGTACATGTTTCTGGCATGAGTTTTAAGCTGTGGGGTCTGGGACTTGAACTGTGGTAGACTATGTAGGAGTCCAGCAATGTAACCATTATGCCATCTGCTGGTCCTAATATTATAATTTTAAGAAAGGGGGGTTGCAGGTGGCATGGTAACTAGAGTACTGGCATACACAAGGCCTACTGAGTGGTTTGAGTCCCAGACTTGGTGGCTTGGGCAACACAGCAGGCGTGAGTGTGATTGTCCAGGGTCCCAGGAGGAGATGGGAAGAAATGGGATTGTGGCGTGGCCATTCTTCCTCCCCCCCAGGGGTTATTCCTCACTTTTTCTCTCTCTGGAGAGCCCATGCACCGTGTGGCAAAAAACAACAAAATATTTAAAATTTAAAAAAAGAGTCCTTTTGAAATTTTCTTTTGTTTATGGTTGATGTACAGATATACAGTTGATTGCTATATATGGACAGTTTGCCTAGAAAGCTAGCTAAAATCTCTCAATGAATTCTAATAATATTTTTGTAGAGTATCGGCTGTAGATAATGACTTGTTTCTTCCTTTAAATCTCATATCTTTTACTTTTCTTGCCTTAGTGTACTGGCTATGATCTCCTATGATATTTTAGGAAACAAACGTATTGTCAATATGAAAGAGAAAAATAATTTTTACTGTAGTTTATACACACACACACACACACATTTATATATATATTTATTTTTATGTACAAATCACCTTTTTATGGGCTCATGTTCCAATAAATCCATCATAAGTTGAAAATACACTTATTAATAATACATCTAATCTACTGAACGTCGTGGCTTAGTCTAGCCTGCTTAAACATGCTCAGAACACTTACATTATATACATTTCTTTTTTAGTTTTGTTATAGGGCACATGTACCAGACAGAAACAGAGAGAAGAAAATTGAGAAATCATTTCCCCAAGAGGGATGGTCACCTGCTATCTCTTCCTCAATTCTCCTCTTAGGATTTTGGGCATGGACACACACATGCCTGGCATGAATCAGGCCACTGGGTTCAGGACCTGAACTGTAGATTTGGCTATGTGGGATCCACTACCTTATCCTCCATGCCACCTGCTGGCCATAACATAAGGTTTTGTTTTTTCTTTTTCCCCCAAATTACTTTTACAATTTAAATGTTTTTTTTTTTTTTATCCTTGCTTTGCTTGGAGATTAAAAAAGTTTTTGTGTTAAGAATTATTTTATTGGGAACCAGCTATGTCACTGGACTCTCACATAGTCGACCGCAGTTCGCGTCCTGGACCCACGTGACCCAGCAGCTTGAAACTCACGCTGGCCCTGTATGTGTGCACACCCAAAATCCCAAGAGAAGAATGGAGGAGAAGGGATTGTGGCATGGTCAGCCCCCTAGAAGGTGATTTCTAACTTTTTGTCTCTCTGTCTCTCTCTGTCTCTCTGGCAAGCACATGTACTCTATAGCAAAAACCTCTCCAAAAAACAAAAAAACAAACCAAACCAAACAAACAAACAAAAAAGAATTGTTTTATTTAACCTTTATTTATTTAAATAAATATGGGATATGGGATCCAGCACCTTAATCCACATCAGTCCAAGGGACAGTTTATTCACATTTACTTTATATATTTTATTTTCATTTTTTAAAAAAGAATGATTTTATTTAACTTTATTTTTATTTATTTATTTATTTAAATTTGGCCAGAGAGGGACAGAGTGACAGAGACAGAGAGAGAGAAGGAGAGGGAAAGTGAGAAAGCAAGCTGCCAGGTCCAGGACTTGAACCGCCATTGACCATGTGGGAGCCCAGGGCCCCTAACCACCACTGAAACCTGCTGGCCTTAGATACTGTACTTTAATGATAACTAAAATATTGCTACATTTGCTTTTTCTTTCTCTTTCAACTTTTTGAAAGTGAGTTGCAGACAAAATAATACATTTCTAAGAGCTTCAGCAAGTACCTCCTAAGAACCAGGACATTCCACATAAAATTGTGCTCCCCGATTGGTACAATGACACAATGTAATATAAATGAACATTTCCAATTGTTCCAATTTACCCAACTGTGCCAAAGTAGCTTTTTCGTTCTTTTATCTATGATCCAAACAGCCATCACAGATGAAATTTAGCTGCCCTGTCTCTTAGCCAGCATTATTCAGGAACAGTGCTACTGCTTTTCTTTCGGGATATTGTCCTTTTTAAGAGACAAAGCAGGTATTTTGTCCTACAACTGGAGTTCTGTCTTCTCAAGATCAGGTTCAGGTTAAATATTCTCAGCCCTTTGGCAAGAGACATTGTGTCCTTGTCAAGCACATTAGATCAGAAGGCACAGATCTGTTTTGAGACAACTCTATTATTAGTTTTTTTTATTATTATTTTAAAGAGGACAGCCAAATCAAAATGTACTCCCCTTTGGTATATTATTAGCTTTCAGTGAGTGTAATTCCTCTTTGAAAGCACCCACAGAAGGTGGGAGGCTGGCTGCTGAGTAGGAAAAAAACTCCGGAATGAGATCTGAGGTTTAGCACCAATGTGGTTAATAATTAGCTGTGGACCCCTAGATAAATCTCTTAAAACCTTCAGCTGTAAGAAAAAAAGGAGAATTGGGCCACATTTCTAAAGAGCCTTTGAGTTCTAAAATGCTATGAGTGTGAAAGCAATGTTAGCAGAGAGGGCTGGATTTGGAATCAGAAGACCCGGATTTGAGCGCGGCTCTGCCACATACCCGCTGCGTGAACGTGGACAAGTCATTTAATCTCTCTAAGCCTCGCAGAGATTTACCTCACAGAGTTGGGAAGGATTAAGGAGGTTATTGTATGTCAAAGTGCCTTAGAAGTGGTAAAGAACTACGCGAATGTCCGGTCTTTTTTTAAAAAATAAATTTCCAGTTTTCCTCGTGTCAATCCGGAAAAAGCAACCTAGAGTGAGTCAAACCGCATCAACTTAAATTTTAAAATCAGGAAATACCAGTCTAGTTCATTACGCATCATATTCAGTTTATGGAATCCATAGTTTTGTTCCATATGCTTCGATGATGAATAATACTGCCTAAAATTATGAATAGGTACTCACTTGCATAGGCTGGTCCTCCGCAAGAAGATGGTCCCTGTTCTTGGAATCCCAAATTTTGGAGGGTAAAACAGTCTAGGAGAATGGCAAGAAGAATTTATAAACTGATTTCCTACTTCAGTGAACGACTTCCCGTTGAGCCATCAGGTCCACGGGGAGGATGGCAAACAGGTCAACACGGAGGGGAAGTTTTCCTGTTCTTCAAGCGAGCAAGGGCAGCCCTACATAAAGTAAGCCCGCATGGGCCGAAGGCATGGTGTTTGTCCCTGAGACCGCAGGAGGGAGAGTCCGGCAGGCCGGCTCTTTGCATTCTTTGGACTGACAGCCCTAGGATTTCTCTGAGGCCTTTTGAATGGCGCTCGGGGAACCTAGTTCATTAATGCACACGGGCCACATTTTTCGATTATTCAGCAGAACCATCAAAGTATTTCCCGGGAGGTGCAGCGCGCGCACACGCCCCCTCGGTCGCGTTGAGTAACGCGCGTACTATCTGGGGGGGTAGTGCCAGGCGCACCGTTGTTGCTCAAGACTCGAGGCGTTGCAAGAAAATGGCTAACGAAGCGGCGGGGGAACGGCGGCGGGGCGGACGTTGGTGCGGTTGGCCACGCCTGACCTCTCGGCCCACGCAACGGGTCGCACCGCCCAGGTGGCCGCGGCCGACTCCGCCGAGCGCGCCGGGGGCCGTCCCCGAGCCCGTGCGCACGCGCGTCCGGCAGCCGGGTGCCGGACGCGGGTGGCG